TGCTTTTTTATTTGGTTTATGCATTCATTTATTTACTTTTGGCTGCACTGGGTCTCTCTTGCTTTGCCAGAGCTTTCTCCAGTTGAGGCCAGCAGGGACTCCTCTTCATCACGGTCCTCAGGCTTCTCACTGTTCAGGCTTCCCTTGTTGTGGTGCATGGACTTCAGTAGTTGCAGCACAAGGCCTCATGAGCTGCGGCTCTAGGGCTCTGAAGCACTGGTTCAGTAGTTGTGGCACATGGCTTAGATGTTCCAGGGTATGTGGGATCTTCCAGATCAGGAGTCAAACCTTGCATCGGCAGGTGGATTCTGTGCCACCAGGGAAGTCCAGTAATGTAGTGTTGTTTTTTTTTTTTTTTTACTCCACATTCATTTGTCAGATGTTTATTGAACATGTTGCCTATCTGCCAGGTAAGAGGCAAGAGCTCAAGGATACACAACAGTGAAAAAGGGGGAAGAAAAATTCTGTCCTGGCAGAGTTTTCCCTCTAGTTATAGCAGTTAAGGTGCTTGTAATCTTGCAAGAGTAGATGGGTCAATTGCCAAGGTTAGTCCTGAAACATTGCCTGCTGCGGTGATGACGGGAGCTGTCTGCTCTTCTTGGCATTCCTCCTATGGAGTTGGGTCTGAGGACATCTTTACCTTAGGAAGGCATTGCCCCCGATCAGAACTGTATAGGAGATAGATTTCCTTGCCAAGCCTTTTCCTTGTGACCGTATTGATAATTTTTGAAAGTATTTGTGTATTTGCATCCGTGGGGGCTTAGTTGCCCAGCACCGAATCTTGGTTGCATCATGCGGGATGTTGTTTGCTGTGGTGCACGGGCTTTCTAGTTGTGACATATGGGACCTTAGTTCCCCTACCAGGGATCGAACCTGCATCTCTTGCATTGCAAGGTGGATTCTTAACCACCGGACCCCCAGGGAAGTCCCAACCATATGATAATTTAGCCTGTGGTAGACATGGTATCTTAAAGGTGAGGGAAGGGAGAATGATTTGATGTGTAGGCTCCTAGGACAACCAAGAGTTGTTCAGTTGCTCAGTCATGTCTGGCTCTTCATGGTCCCGTGGACTGTAGCCTTCCAGGCTCCTCTGTCCATGGGATTCTCCAGGCAAGAGGACTGGAGTGGGTTGCCATGCCCTTCTCCCGGGGATCTTCCCTTCTGAAAGACAACCAAGAAAGAAAGTGGAAGAGACTCAAGTTGGAGGATCCTTACCTCAAACCACATCGAAAACAAAGTACCAATAATGTATTGAAACTTAAAGGGAAAAGATAAACCTATTCAAAACAGGCTAAGAGAAAACGTGGGTGAATATGTAGTCTTGTGATGAAGAATTATAATAGTCTCTAAACTTACAGGTAATGGAAGAAACTGTAAAGCAGATAAAAATCGACACTCAATTATGTAAAAATATAGAAGTATTTGCAGCAAGTATGACAGACAAAGAGGGAGAGGGCATGTTCTCATGCTGTTGGTTGGGGGTGTAATTGGCACAGTCCTTTCTGGAGAGCAGTGTGATAATAAGTATCAAGAGCCTTCAAGATCCTCTCCTGTGACTCAACAATTTCTCCTCTGGGAGACTAGTCTTTGAAAACTGCCAGAAATTTGGACAGATGTTACATGCAAAGCTGGTTACTTTAGCTTTAAAAAAAATAAAAACTGGAGATAATCCAGTAATAATAATGTCTACTGGTGAGAGAACTGTTAAATTGTGTTTTTAAATAAATGAATTATTCACTACTATAAGCAAACATAGGTATAATTCTAAATCATAGGATTGCTGTAATTAACAGTGACATTTCCTTTATATTTCAGTCCTGTTTTGCCTCAGTTAGGAAAATAAATTATAATTCTTCCACGTTTGCAAAAAGCCAAATTCAATACTAACTAAAGAATAGTATGATTATTGGGCCATCTTTGAGCTTTTCTTTTGTACTGTGCAAAAGATTGTTAAATAAAAACCAATAATCTAGCACATTTATAAGATGCCTATTGTGTGTATGGCATTGTGCCTAGTATATTTCATGACTGTCCATTTATTTCTAGCATCATCCTAAGAGCAGGTAGTGTTCTCATCCCCATTTTACAGGTGAGGAGCCAGAGGCCCAGAAAGCTTTACTTACTTACCTGAGGTCCTTTAGAGGCAGAAGCAGAGCTGCTTGCATCCGAGACCTGGGAGACTCCAAAGCCTGTAGCTGAGTATCTGCTCAAGAGCCAGTCCTGCTTTGGAATGACTGAAATGTAGAAAGAACAAGTGCCTTTTTTTTTTAAAGATTTATTTATTGATGTATGGATGTGCAGGGTCTTCATGGCAGCGAGCAGAAGCTACTCTCTGGTTGTGGTGCACGGGCTCCTCATTTGATGGCTTCTGTTGTCGGAGCGCAGGCTGCAGCTGCGTGGGCTTCAGTGACGGACGCTTCTGGGCCCAGTGGTTGGGCCTTGGGGGCTCCGCAGCGCTGGCTCCGTAGTTGTGGCGCATAGGCTTAGTTGCCCGCATCGTGTGGGCTCTTCCTGGAGCAGGGATCGAACCCACGTCCCCTGCATTGGCAGGCAGATTCTTTTTTTTTTAATGTATTTATTTTTAATTGGAAGATAAGCACTTCTCAATATTTTATTGGTTTCTACCATACATCAGCATGAATCAGCCACAGGTATACGTATGTCCCTCCCTCTTGAACCCCCTCCCACCCCACCCCATCCCTGTCCTCCCTTCCGGTCGTCACAGAGCACCGGATTTGAGCTCCTGCGTCACACAGCACATCCCCACTGGCCAGCTAAGTTTGCATGTGGTAATGTATACGTCGCGATTCTACTCTCGGTTCATTCCACCCTGTCCGTCCCCTTCTTGTCCACAAGTCTGTTCTCTGTACTGTTCACGGGGTTCTGTCTGTCTGCGTCTCCAGGAAGCCCACAGGTGACTTGCAAAAGCAGTTTTAATGGGGTTTGACTGTCACTGCACCCCGTTCACTGTGCTTTCCCATCACGGGGGTTTCTGTCACCCAGCCAGCCCTGTTCTTCTTGTAGCTTGAGGTCCTCATCTCCCCACCACAGATCACTGTTGATCCCAAAGATCAAGAGGCCCTCTCCTGCTCTGTGAGTATGTGTGTGACCCCCAAGTTGTTCCTCAGCATTTCTCACAGCCCCCCACCTCTACAGAACAGTAATGTGCAGGTTCCGTGTTTGTGAACTGGGGGAAGGCTGTGAAAAAGCATCGCACACCACCTTTTTCTTACTCACTGTTTTTGTTCTGGAATGGAGAGGACCCTAACCATAGCAGCGTTTCTTTCTTTTTTTTTCCCTGAAACTCTCTCGTTGTTTATTCACCAATCAATATCTCTTTAGGACTTACTGCGTTAAGCATTTTGAGGAGATGGAACTGAAATAAATACACGTTTTTCTCTTTCATGATACCCTTTGTCCCCATTTTCAGTGGAAAGGAACTTATAGCTCTTCCTTTATTCTCTGTAACGACTTAACACAGAAGGATGATCCAAACATACATAGTAAAGATATAAAGGACACAAATTGTTTTTTTTGTAATTTTGTTCTTCAGTCGCTCAGTCATGTCCGACTCTGTGTGACCCCATGGACTGCAGCACGCCTGGCTTCCCTGTCCTTCACCATCTCCTGGAACTTGCTCAAACCCATGTCCATTGAGTCGGTGATGCCATCCAACCATCTCATCCTCTGTCGTCCCCTTCTCCGCCGGCCCTCAAATCTTTCCCAGCATCAGGGTCTTTTCTAATGAGTCAGTTCTTTGCATCAGGTGGCCAAAGTATTGGAGTTTCAGCATCAGTCCTTCCAATGAATATTCAGGACTGATTTCCTTTAGGATGGACTGGTTGGATCTCCTTGCAGTCCAAGGGACTCTCGAGTGTTCTCCAACACCACAGTTCAAAAGCATCAATTCTTTGGCACTTAGCCTTCTTAATGGTTATGGTCTTTTTTAAAACAGGGGCCAAATTTTTTCTTTGGCTCAAGTAAAAAAATAAAGATGTAATTTTTAGGAGCTCTGGAGTAAAAGCAGAATGAAGATCTTCAAGTCAGATATACTTGGATTTCAATATTATTTCTACCCCTGCCTATGTAGGTGAATTAGTTTACCATTCAGGATTTAGCCACTGCATCTCTAAAATGTGCATGGGAACACCTACTTTATTGCATAATACTAATAGGATATTGCATGTAAAAACCTAACACAGCGCCCCACACTTTCTATACAGACATAGCAGCATTTCTTACCAGCTTCCATGAAGTCTTACAGAAGCCTTGTTGTTAACAGTTTGCTTTCCAGTTTCTCCTCTTTGTCATTCTTTTTTCTTTATTTCCCCATCATTGATGCTTTCGAAACAGGAAAAGGGGCAAAAGAATGAGGTTGTTTTCATTCATGATTTCATAATTTTTTTTTAAAGAAAACTGTATGTCTTTGCTAAAGAACAAGATATAATTTGTCTTTCCAAATTTCTGTCAACTTGGGTTTCTCACCCTCAGCACAATTGACATTTGGTCTGGATGACTCTGTAATTGGGTAGGGGGTAGGGGGTGGGCATCCTGTGTATTGGGGATATTTAGAGGCATCCCTGGCCTGTCCCAAGTAGATACCAGTTTCTATTTCTGCCCTTACCCCAATCAGAATTGTCCTCAGGCACTGCTGGATGTCCCCTGTGGGGAAAAATGGAAACAGGTGGCTCAGAGCTGGAGAAGTCCATCTGAGAAAGGCAGGTGTTATATAACGTACTGAGCTGGCCTACTGGGGACTCTGGTGTCTGTAAGCTGGACAGTCAGGCAGGCTTCTCTCAGTTGACAACCTCTGGTATAAATATAAAACTTGGCAAACTAACGTCTTTTTGCTTTTTACTTGGAGTGATGGGAAATAATTGTCCTTGTAATAGTATATAGTCATATCAGATATTTTATCCATTGAATATTTTCAGCTTTTTTCACATATTGATCTGATTATATACATTTGAGAATAAAATATATTTTCTTTTTTTAAACAGTATGCAAGCATTGAAAAAAATGGTGAATTTTTCATGTCTCCCAATGACTTCGTCACCCGATATTTGAACATTTTTGGAGAAAGCCAGCCTAATCCAAAGACTGTGGAACTTTTAAGTGGTGTGGTGGATCAGACTAAAGATGGGTATGTTTGTTTTTGATTATCTCATTTAGTTTTTGTTTTGTTTGAAACAGCTTTCTGTTTCTTTAATGATTAGGAAGCCAATGTGCTACATTTTTTCTCCCTTTTACAATTAATACATTATTTTAGAAATGATGCCCTTAATATTTCCTTCAGTGTTCTTATCCCAGTTGGGGATTCTATATCTGAATTTCTTGACATAGTTTAAACAACTGTTTATAATTTCACAGCTATTGGAGTTGAGTGGTGCGAAGATGTGCTTGAGTGTGTGTAGTATATTTTAAGTTTTAAGGCAACTGTAAAAATTATAAATGTAAAACGTAGTTCTGTGAACATAACTTTTCTATAATCTTTCTGCTCAAGGAACTTTTAAATGTCCCATGTGATTAAATGCTGTAAATCTGACAGACAGAATAATGATTCAAAATCTCCAAGAAAGGCATTCTGCCCAAGTGGGAAGAGAAACATGGAACCACCTAAAACTAAATAGGACACTTTGCAAAATGCCTTTGGTGTTTTTTTTTCTTTTACCAATATTTTCTGTTTACATTTTAGAAAGTGAGTTATTCATAAGTTCTGTAAGAATGCAGTTGATTTTTACCGTAAGTGCAGAATTTGGGGCTCCAAAATATTGGTCATATGAGCCCCAATATTCCCTAATAACCAAATATAATCTGTCAGAACTAGCCTTTTCTGTGTAAACTGTAGTAAACCCAGCTGTCCGCCCTCGCCACTTGCCAGCACTCCCCTCTGATAGATTACATACCTGCCTTTCTGGGGTGTTCTTTTGTTCTGAACTTTCTCTTTTGGTCCCATGTGTGTTTTTCCTGTGTGCATGAGTTTGAGATAAAACCAAAGAAAACGCCCTGATGAACTGTGAGTGCTCTCAGTTTTACCAGTACTTCTCTGTACTTGCTTACACCTCTGTTGTTCCATCCTGCATGAAGGTGACTCCCTCTAAAGTGAAAGTCTTGCAGATGGGAAGCAAGTGGGGAGGAAATTGGCAATTATACTTCCTGTCATATGCTGGCAGATTGCTAGGTTATACCCTCTCTGTTCTCTCTGGCTACTCGTGTTTTCTACAACTTGTGTAATCCCTCCCAAGGTGGGATTCTTTGCTTTGGAGGATTTAGGAGCAGTCATTTCTTCTCTTATAGGGCCTGTCTGTGGAGGTGCAGGGGGAGAGGTGGAGGTATATTTCACACTAGTTCATTCAGGCTAAACAGCTGCACAGAACATTGCTTTATTCTAGCAAACATTTTGGGGGGGTGGTGCAGATTGGATTGCTTCCACATCCTCTGTGCTTATAAGGTGCAGAAGAAGAGTGACCAAGCTCATGTGCAGTATGAATTAGCTAACTCAATGTTTAAGATCAATTTTTTTTTCTTACTTAATAGTTAAAAAAATTTTTTAAGCTATAGAAAATGTAAAGAATTCAGTGGATGTCTAATAGATACCCTTCATCTGCATTGATTGTTAACACTTTTAAAACCTGTGTGCCTTTTTAAAATTTGTTTTAACACACATATACTTTTTACATATCACACACATAATTTCCTCTTTTGGGTAGACCAGTTAACTATAAATTGCAGACATCAAGATACTTCAATATTTATCTTTGAATAAGAGCATTCTTCTTAACCATTATCATACTTAGGAAGATTAACAATCATGTGACATATCTAATATCCAGTAGATTAGCAATCATGTGAAATATCTAATATCCAGTCTATTTCAAATATGCCAGATCTCTCCACTCACCTCTCCCCCACCTCAAATGCTTTGCCTTTTGTTTTTCAAATCCACCATCTAATCAGGTTTCCTGTATTACATTTAGTTGCTGTATATCTTCTAGAACAGACCCTTGCCTTTTTTTTTAACCACTGATCAAGTTTAGTGATTTTTTACTTCAAAAAAATCAAACCACCATAAAAAAAAAAAAGGCAAATAAAACTGATTTTCCAGTCATTTGAAAAGCATAGTGCTTATTTTTCCAAAACAGACTCAAACTTAAATGCTACCATTATCATCTCTAAACTTCTGCAATAAAATTAGCATTTATACATACATATATATATGGGTTTTGCTTATAGAATTGTATCTTGCAGTCAACAGGAGAAAGAACACATCCTTGTTTTATTATTCTATCATGACATTGACTTGAACCCAGGCCCAGTTATTTTGTTGAAAGCCTCTCATTCTGGGCTTGTCTGGCTGTTTCCTCGTGACTTGGATTCAAGATCAGTTTTGGGGTGCAGGTTAGGAGAGATGCTACTATCCTGTCCCAGCGTTGATGATACTCAGTTTGATCATTTGGTTCAGATGGTGTCCACCAGATATTTCCATTCTACAGAACCACTTTTGTTTTGTAATTAGGAAATAGGCACTTTCAGAACATGGGAATATCCTGTTTCACAGCAACCTTTCAGCCAGTAGTTTCAGCATCCTTGGTGATCCTTTTCTGGGTCAGTTATTACATCCATAGTGATCCTTTTCTGGATTAGGCATTATATCCATAGTGACGCTTTTCTGGATCAGGTATTACATCCATGGCAACCCTTTTGTGGACCAGGCATTACATCCATGGTGACCCTTTTCTGGATGAGGTATTACATTGGTGTTTGAAAAAACAGTGATTTTCTCTGACTCTTTCTCATTTATTGTCTGGAATTCTTTGGTAAAGAAAAGCTTTCTTCCCTCCACTCCCTTTTCTTTCTCTGTTGATTTCTGTATCAGTGTAAACTCATGGATTTATTTACATTGAACTCAGTGTATTAGAATCTATTACTAAATCCTCTGAATTGTTCAGATTGTCCCAGAGTGGTCAGTGGGAGTCCCTTCAAGCTGGTCCTCTTGGTTGGGACTGGTGCTTGGGAACATGAAGCTGGGCAGTAACTCATTGCTACTGGATTGTTCCTGCCTCTCTGATGTTTCAGTGGAAAGACCTGGGAGATATACTTAAAAACCAAAAAAAATCAAAAGTTCATAATGATAGTTCCTATTTAAATTTAATGTTACAGGGATTTCCTTTCTTTTCTGTTTGTATCTTTTTAAGTGACGATTTTGATTCCTAGTTACACGAATATGTTTACAGTCATTACTTTTATGTGATTGTAGTATCTTCTAGTGTACTTGGCTTCCTTTTCATCCCACCCCTATTAACACACTGGCTTTTCCTATTTCTTTTTACATATACTCTTAAAAAAATATGACCTCGAATTCATTAGATGCCAACAATGTAACATGCATTTTACGTATATAATGTAACATAACATGTATATTTTCTCATGCGCTTATAACAAATTCTTGGCTTTCCTTCCCTGGTTTCCCAGATGAGAACTAAGGGATCAAGTAATTTGCTGCTTAAAGGTACCCAGGCCTGTCAGGCTCTAGTCCTGGGCCTTTCCACTGTTTAGAGCTGCCTCCTCTCATCATCTCACAATTCTCTTTAACTTGACATTTTCTTTCTGATTTTGTATTACCTTAAATGTTAGCATTTTACTGTGACAAGGAAAATCTTCAATAGTCTCAATCCTTTACCCTATGACTAATTTTTTCTTTTCTTCTCCTTTCTTTCTTTTCAGTGTTAATAGTGAATAGTTCAGTTTCAATAGGGAAAACCACCACCCATAACCATCTCAGCTTGCCACGGTATTTTGAATTTTTCAGTATATTCTATGACTTACACTGCATCAATATTTTTCAAAATTTGAATTCATTTTTGTTTTAATTCTTTCATAATCTTTCTGCCTTTATCAGTGTTTGTATTTCGATATGCTGTTCATATGAACAGTGTTAGATGGCTTCATCATTTTTTGTTAGATTAATAGACCACACTTTATGAAATCATGCCCTTAGTTATTTCAGTTTCTACTTTTCTATAATGGATACTACTGGAGTGAATATATTCATGCATGTGGCGTTTCCCCCTTCTGTTTAATGTGTTGCTGTTGAGTCACTGAGTCATGTTGGAGCCTTTGCTGCTTCATGAACTACAGCACGCCAGGCCTCCCTGTCCTTCATCATCTCCTGGAGCTTGCTCAAACTCATGTCCATTGAGTCAGTGATGCCATCCTACCATTTCATCCTCCGTCGCCCCCTTTTCCTCTTGCCCCCGATCTTTTCCAATGAGCGATCTCTTCAGATTAGGTGGCCAAAGTATTGGAGCTTCAGCTTCAGCACCAGTCCTTCCAATGACTGTTCATGGTTGATTTCCTTTAGGATTAACTGGTGATCTTGCTATCCAAAGCACTCTCCAACACCGTAGTTCAGAAGTATCAATTCTGCGGCACTCAGCTTTCTTTATAGTCCAACTCTCACATCCGTACATGACTACTGGAAAAACCATAGCTTTGACTATACAGACCTTTGTGGGCAAAGTGATATCTCTGCTTTTTAATACACCATCTAGGTTTGTCATAGCTTTTCTTCCAAGGGGCAGGTGTGTTTTAATTTCGTGGCTGCAGTCACCATCTGTGTTGATTAGGAAGTCCAAGAAAATGGAATCTGACACTGTTTCCACTGTTTCCCCATCTATTTGCCATGAAGTGATGGTACCCGATGCCGTGATCTTCGTTTGTTGAATGTTGAGTTTTAAGCCAGCTTTTTCACTCTCCTCTTTCACCTTTATCAAGAGGCTCTTTTAGTTCTTCTTTGCTTTCTGCCATTAATGTGGTATCTGTTTAATTACTTCCTTAGATCTAATAGAGGGATTCCTGGGTCTAAGGGTAGGAATATTTTGTAGCTCACTGTGATATGTGTTGTTACAGTTCTTTCCAAAAGGACTGAGCTGAACAAGCCCTTGTGTGGTGTTTAAGCTGATTGAGCTCGTAGCATAGGACCAGTGTTCAAGACCCATTCACATGTGCCTGTACCATCATCCCTAATCCCAGCCCCAGCACACAGCTAGCTTCACAGTATTTATTTCACAAACAGGTCTAATCATAGATCTCTTCTCAATGTAAAATGGTGAATGCCTGCAGTCCCCCTTCCTTTCCCTTTCT